AATATCAATTCGGTTTTAGGTGGAAACACTATGGCGCGCCTCAGTACCATCCGGAAATACTTTTTCAGAAAAACAACACTATCTTTAAGGAGGCTCATTACACCCACAGTTTATTTTAGATTTCATTACAGCACTCAATTGGTTTGATAGTCCTCTCTGTTTTAGTTAAATTTATGTTTATTTCCCCCTTGCTCTTTTCAACTGCATACCACTATCTTTTATTTTTATGCCCCCGTATCGAAGATTCGGGGGTATATAGTTTTTGCCCTGTCCATCCGCCTGTCTATCTGTCTGTTTATCCGCAAAAACTTTAACCTTGCCCATAACTTTTGATTGGTTGGAGCTAAGGCTTTCATATTTCACATGTGTAATCCTTGTGGCAAGACCTTTCTTTGGGTACCACCATATTTGACCTTTTGATCTTGACCTTGGAGTTTGACCCAGTTTTGCAAAATTTTATTGAACATTAACCTTGGCTATATCTTTTGAACAGTTGGTGCTAGGGCTTTCATACTTCACATGTGTAATTCTTGTGACAAGACCTTCCTTTGGATACCAACAACTTTGACCTTTTGACATTGACCTAGGAGTTTGACCTACTTTTGAAAAACTTTAACATTGGCCATAACTTTTGAACTGTTAGTGCTAGGGCTTTCATACTTCAAATGTGTAATTCTTGTGACAAGACCTTCCTTAGAATACAAACAACTTTGACCTTAGGACGTTGATCTTAGGGTTTGGCCTACTTTTGAAAAACTTTAACCTTGGGCATAGGTTATGAACGGTTGATGCTAGGGCTTTCATACTTCACATATGTAATCCTTATAACAAGGCCTTCCTGTGGAAACCAACAACTTTGACCTTGACCTTGGAGTTTGACCTACTTTTGGAAAACTCTAACCTTTGTCATAACTTTTGAACATACTTCAAATATGTAATCCTTGTGACAAGACCTTTCTTTGGATACCAATAACTTTGACCCTTTGATCTTGACCTTGGATTTTGACGTACTTTTGGAAAACTCTAACCTTGGCCATAACTTTTGAATGGTTGGTGGTAGGGCTTTCATACTTCACATATGTAAACCTTGTGACAAGACCTTCCTTTGAATACCAACAATTGTAATCCATTTACCTTGACCTTGGAGTTTGGCTACTTTTGGAAAACTTTAACCTTGGTCATAACTTTTGAACGATGGGTGCTTCGGCTTTTAACCTATGTATTTCTTGGGAGAAGGCCTTTCCTTGGGCACCATTAATTTTGACCATTTGACCTTGACCTTGATGTTTGACATACTTTTGAAAAAACTTTATCCTTTTCCATATCTGTTCAACGGTTGCTGCCATGGCTTTCATATTTCACAGGTATATTCCTCGAGACAAAACCTTACTTTAGGTACCAACATATTTGATTTGCATTTGAGAAAGTTTAACTGTTGCTATAAGTTGCCATACGTGGGCATCAGTGTTTCACAAACACATCTTGTTTACCTCTGTGACTAAAAGTATGAATACTAAGAGGATATTAAGGAAAATAAATCTAAATTTAAAAATAGGAAAGTAGGAAAAACTAGGAAAAAGTAGGAACAGTGGAAAGTCTGCATTCCATAATCTTTAAGGTCAACATTCATGAAATTTAAGTAACATTTATTAAGACAGAGAAATACTGACTTGTAACTTTCATTGCCTTAGACTGTTGTTTTGAATTCTAAAATCCCGAATTTAAAGAAATACGTAAATTTCCCACAGTGCTCAAGAAATACGTGTATCTACTGATGTCATTAATAAATACATGTATTTACTAAACTTTTCAACATTTTTTACACGCATTTACTAACAATGTTAGTTGAACTGTGAACTATTTATGTTGATGTTTTAAACATCTACAGATTTATTTTACTGGTCTTTTTTATTGATCCTCTATACATTGAACAAGGAATAGCTCTAAATCATCAGAATTTTTCCTGGAAATTGAATGTAAACATGGTACCCCTATCTAAAATAAAGATATATATCTTCCAAATGATGTTTGTATTTTCAGTAAAAGTCGCATATGTGGAAACATATATCAATGACTAACTGCGTGAGAAAAATAATGTAAAATTGAAATATCTAATTTTTTGTCAAATTAACGGTGCTGTATGGCACATCATCTTTTGATTTAGGCCAAGATACTAGCAGATTAATTGAATACTATGTTCAAGTTTTTACATCCATGTAGGTAAGCAACAGTGATATATATATTCATTAAGACTTCGTTCTCCATGAACATTTTTCCTAAGAATATATGGCTGTTATTCTTTGTTGAAAATGAAACAGATGAATTCAATATTTTTACTAAATTTTTTATTGTTCAAAAATATTTTTCTTTAGTGTATGGAGGGTTCTTAATTAAGAGATTTAAGTGTTAAAAAGTTGGAGATGCTGAAAAGTAAATAAGATCCTCTATAAACTTTTGATAAAAAATGTTTTTTGGACTTGGAGATAACTATATTTTATAAATGTAAAAAATATTGTTTTATTTATTTTCATTTTCAAAAAAGGAACCTGTCATTCTCCCCCACCAAAAATGTTAAAAGACAACAAAGTACCCATCAATAGATATTACTGTTGCTTGATCAAATAGGAAAAACACATGCAAATGAATTATTGAATTACTTTATCTTGGTCTGCTATTTTAAATATTAAGAATACTTGAATTGATTTAAGTTGTATATTACACAGTTGATTTTTTGAACTCTTGATCAGTAAAAACGTGCAAAAATTGCTACAATTTTCAGTAAATTCATGTAATTCCTAGCCATATTCAGTTATTACATGTATTTCCTAAAACAGCAAGTAAATACATGAATTTAATAAATGGTTTAGGAAATACATATAATTTCTGATTTCATATATTTATGTTTTAAATGATTCAAGTCAGTGTAAACCTTAAATATGCCCAAAAATTTTATATGCTATCAAAGAAATTTTGTGCATTATAATCTCTAAAAATCGCTGTTGATACAATTTGCATTTCTCTTCTTCGTTAGTTTTATGATCAATGATTAAATAAGTTGTTACTATTCAATACATGTTTGATTTCGATAACTATCTTTTCGCATTAATAGCCATTTCATATTTTGCTGAAATATGAGCTGTTCATCCTTTCAATATTGAAATTAAAAAATCTTCTTAGTATTACAAAATCAATTAAAAACATCCTGTTCATTTAAGATTAATGTTCTGACTGCAAATATTTTATTGTTTGCTCTGCTCCTATTTTGTATTGTATAATGGACTTTTGAGCTTGAATACTGTTCGTTATCTCCGTATATTTCATTCATAATGGCGTTTAAGGTAGTGGATTTAGATCCTGCTCTGATTGATTGATTGATTGATTGATTGTATGTTGTTTTACGTCCCATTCGAGAATTTTTCACTCATATAGAGACGTCACCATATACCGGTGAAGGGCTTCAAATTTTGACCTTTACTCGGCACTCAGGGCCATTGAGCAGTGAGGGATCTTTATCGTGCCAACGCCTGCCGTGACACGGGGCCTCGGTTTTTAAGGTCTCATCCAAAGGACCCGCAACTTTCACTTCAAAGTGCCGAGCGCATGGCGAAGGAAGAGTTGCTACCCATTTTTTATCGACTTAGATCAGTCGCGGCCGAGATTCGAACTCACGACCTCCCGATCACGAAGCGAGCGCTCTATCGACTGAGCTACCGTGAACGGTAGATCCTGCTCTGTATTTGCCTAGTATTTAATTAAAAAAGAATAAAAACTTTTTTCACTGTATTTTTACTAAGAAGCACCTGTACTTAAAACCTTTTTTTTTTTTTTTGCTGTATAAAAGTATAAAATGAAGTATGCTGATGTTTTCTAAAATTGTGCCAAGTTTGGTTGAAACTGAATCAAAACTGTACGAGGGGTACCATTTTGAAATATTTCACATTTTTCCAGTTGGGTATATCAACACAAATTAAGAGAATCATAGGCCTTAGTTTAGTATATTTCTGAAGGAGTTCATTTTTTTAATCAAACCAAAACTGTATAGAAGGTGTAGATATTTGAAAAAAAAATCCTTGTGTTAATAATTTAACATTATTCAGATCACAACATTAAAAACTAAAAGAGAACATTGTGCACCAAGGTGTGCCTGTCTTCCAAGTCATATTGAAATGAGAAAAAATCTTAAACAGTAATGGCCTTTAAAAGAATTTTACATACATTTCTATCTTCAAAAACCATGAAAACTCCGTTCTACTGAATGAAAAAAACAGATACAACGAATGTTCCTTGATGTATTCCCCCGCGTTCCGAGTTTAACTAAATTGGACCAAAATCGTACGAGTAGTAGCGTTTGGAAAGAATTTCTGAGAATTTTCTGATTTTTGTAACCATAGTATCACAGGGCCGCCAAATCAAAACCGATAAAAGGAAATTTAATCATAGTGTAAACTGCTTGTGTCCCAAGATTTATCGAAATCAGAAAAAAAGCTGTAGCAGGAGAAACAATTTGAAAAGTTACTTAAGGGGTGTGCAATAGTCATGACCTTGAATATGACTAAATATACATTGGATGGATTTACAGAGATATGCCTCTTTTCTATAGTAATTCTCATAGGTAATTAATTCATGCTAAAATAATGCTTTCTGCTCATTAGATTTTTGATGAGCAGATTTTTTACTGCATTTTTTTGTACACATTAGATTTCGTTTATCACAAAATAATTTCTGTTGCAATTAGTTTTGCGTTTGGCCTATATTTTCGCTAAATTGACTGCATGGAATGGCCGAATGGGTGACGTATGGGCAGAAGTTGTTGGAGAATGTTTTACTGCGATCGGACAGAGAGATTCTTGGTATTTGTATGATTCTCCCTATATAAAATGCAAATTGGATATCAAATATAGCATTTCATTGCTAGTGCTTCCTTGGAGTTAAAAATGACAATATCAGTTTCTGAAATGTAGAATTCGTTGTTTTCAGAATTGTATCTGAAATGGATTAACACTGTGATAGGTTTCTCTGCCATGGATCTGCAGCCAAGGAGATTTTTGCGGCCGACGAAGAATCATTCAACATTTCAATGTGTCTCTCTAGTGTCTTCTTTAGGACTTTATACTCATCGTTGTTCTTCTTCATTTGATTGGATGCTAATTCCTCCAATCGTCCACGAGATTCGTCCAGCTCGGATTTCAGGCTGGACACTATTTCATTCTTTAGTTTGACCTCTTCTCTAAGATCTCTGTTTTCAGTTTCTAACTCATTGATACGCTCATTTAGATCTTCCAACTCCTTTGTGATTTTATCGTGAGCTGTTTTCCATTTTTGTTTTTCTATATTGGCGGCTGTTAATTTTTCCCACTTCTTCTCTTCGTTTTCTTTCATAGATTCTTTCAGCTTTTTATATTTTTCAGTTATTCTGTAACTGTCATTAGAGTTCACTAGATCTTCGACTTTCTTTTCCAAATTCAAAATCGCAGTCTGCCCTTTCTCGTAATCATACACTTTCAAGTTATCAACCTTTTTATCTATGAGTTTTTCGATTTCGAGTTTTATCGCAGCCCGTGCTTTTTTTAATCAGATCAGCTATCCTTATCTCCATGTTATCGCTGAATGAAGAAAACATCTCACTGAATTGATCCGCAACATCTGCCTGTCCCAGACTGGTCATTTTTCTGTGGGATGTTTCAACATTTCCAACAGATTTAATTCTCTGTAAATTCAGTGAAAGGAACTTACCATTTAGTAAACGTATTTAATCATAAGTAAAAATTATTTTATTTTTCAAAAAGGTTATATGCATATATAATGTACAAATTACTTTTGTACGTTTCATAATTGGACTTACTTGAGTTGAGGAAGAGATATTTGAGCTTACTAGTCTTCGGTTTTCTTTCAAAATTACATTCTTTGTTGGCGATGAAACTTAGGAATAATTAGAAGAGTATAAATAATTGCTTTTGTTCAATGTTGAATGCTTCAATATCATTCGGTACACGTATAACGATATATTTATATCGATGAAAATTGTTTTTTAAGCATTAAATGTTGATTGTACTTCTAGACGTTTAACTTTCACTTACCACCCAATACGGTACTTTGCAGTTTTTCGACGATATGAACGTGTCTCTCTTGTCGCAGCGCATGCAAAAACACGCTGTAGGTATCACGAGAAGGAGCGTGCAGCAAGAGTTGTACAAACTTGTTGAACTTCCGTTGAGAGGTAGGTGGTGTTACCTGTTCTATTTTTTCCCTGTCCTCAAATACAAAAACATCATTCTCAATGAGGACATCGATGATGCCGTCCAGGTCAGTAAGACGCTCCTTTAGATATGTCAGGTTCTGCTTGATTCGCTTCTTCTCCTCCTTATTCATGGTCCCGGATTTTTGTTTTTAAGGTCAGACGATACGTTCCTCAAATATCTGTTTTGTATACCTTCGAATTATGTGGAAGATATTCAAAATTTTAATTACCTTCTGATTTCTAAACTTGTTTCTAATTGTCTTTTAAAAAATGAAACACCAAAAAATGTGTTATTGGCTAATTAATTTTTTTCCAAAATGATTTTATAGGAAAAACATCCTCTGGTATCTTGCTTAAATGCCTGGTAAGGTACCTCAGTTTTTTGCAAGTAAACATGTTAAAGTAGCAATACTTCAATGACAAAATCTTAGAAAAAATTATATATTATTGAGGAACGTATCGTCTGTCCTTAAAGTAATTCTAAATGACTGTAATTAAACTGGTCTTTTGATAGACTTATATATGAAATAAAGACAGTTGTGCAATTCTTGCTTCTCCGTAAAGTAATGTCAATGAGTCATCTTTGGCGAATAGTCTTAAAGTCTTACACTTTCATTATTTCTGCCGCCTGATAAAAGAATTTTACAACGGAACAGTTAGTCCATTAAACAGCCATTCTCTTAAAACACGTTCCAATTATAGAGTTGTAATCCGGGATTTTTTATCTTAAATTTTGCAATGTCATTTTAGTTTCTTTTCACGATAAGAATATCCATTATTTTTTTTCTATAAGTAATAGGTCATTTGAAGATTTTATCGATAAATAAAAATATTACATTGTTTTTATTGGCATAAATATATTTTCTTTTTAACAAAAAAAGTTAAATCGTCTATCATTTTTCTTTAACCAATGTTTATTTTATTATATATATAATACCAAATTTTAAGCCTAACTGTTTTATTTGCAACTTAAATGATTTTAACATTTTCTCTGAAAAAAAGGTACAAAAAAGTCAAATAAAATAATTCAGAGCTTTTATCGGTCAATCAATGAAATTATATTTCATAAGAGACATTGTAGAGACTCGTCAAATAAATTTTTGGTGCTATATTCTTCCTCAAACCTAAAAATTCATTTTCAGCGTCAGAAGGCTTCAAAAATCAATATCAGTGGTAGATTTTAAATATGTATTAAATAAATGCATAAACAGAGATTACAAATTGTCCCAATAAGTCTGATATAGATACATGCATTTATCGATTTCACACATAGATAATTTAAGGAAAAGGTCAAATATACACTGTACGGTCAAAGGAAGAACTCGAAATTCATCGATAGAGTTGAGAAGACTTAATATCATTGCGAGGGGATTCTCAGAATTCCTGTTTTATTTACTGAAAAAATGCTTGTATCATCTTATTAGTCTCCTACCGGTGAAACCGAAGGGGACTATAGGTTTCCTCTGAGTCTGTCCGTCCGTCTGTCTGTCCCACTTGGTTTTCCGCACTTTTTCCCTAAACGCTTTGAGATATTGAGCTGATTTTTGGTGTGTGAGTGTATCTTGATGAGTTACAGATCAAGTTTGCATTTCACTCCGCTTCAATGATTTTTGACAGAATTACGACCTCTTCAATTTTTCAGAGTTTTCAGCACTTTTTTCTAAACGCTTGCAGATATTGAGCTGATGTTTGGTATGTGACTTCAACTTGATGAGCTATAGATCAAGTTCATTCACTTTATTGATTTTTGACGGAATTATGGCATTTTCAATTTTTAACGGGAACCAGATTACACTTGCCGGTAGGGGACTATTATTGCTAATGCAGTATTCTCAGAATGCTTGTTACACTACAGAGTCTGCCACATCTGTTTTATATTTGGCTGTTTTACTGACTCGGGCCTCTATGTGACTTCTAAAATTTAGGCGCCAACAATAAAAAAAATTTAATCGCCAATGCATATTTTTAGTCGCCAGGTAAATTTTTCCTAAGCTTCAATTTAAACACCGATATTAGTCGATATATAGAAACATGTCCATTGCTAACTTTTAAACTTCTTTTCTGCTCTTTATAAAAAAAATCTTTATAGTTTAGTAATTTGACACCAAGTAAATTTAAAATGGTCGCCAATTTAGCGATTTATAAATATTTTAGGCGCCAATCGTAATTTTTAGGCGCCATGGCGACTAAATTAGAGCCCTGTGACAATAGACGAAAATGGCCAAATATTAACTAAACTGTAAGACAAATGGGATGACTTCATCGTCTTCATTTATTTATGTAGTAATATTCCCACATCACCTGCGTATATGGTGTTTATGTCTCCCAACTGATTCGATACGTAAGCGCATCCTATTACGATCAATTTTTAAACCGAGACAAGCTACTCACAAATTAGTTGATGTTACAAGGATTTCAATAAATGTCAGCTCTTCGCAAATTCTACCAAGTTGTAAATTTTGAATTAAATGCAAAGTTTACAACATAATAAGTCATCACGTTTTACATTTTGCAAAATTACCTCCACATAGTAAATTCAAAATTTACATGATATTTCTACGATCGTTAAATTGACCTTGTTTGTAAATACATGTACAACCTATCGATGGGTCGTATTTTGTCTGACATCATACCATTTGGTCAAATTTGATTACAGAGTACTCTGTCTATCTGGTCAATACCTAGGGCTCACAATACCTCGGGGTCGACAGAGGATACTTACTCCTAGGCATCTGACCTTACCTGGTGTTTTTAGAGGTCCGTGCTTTTACTCTGTTCACGATTCGTTTTGTTTACATTATTTATAAGATTGGTCACTGATTGTTATCTTAACCTTTTTCATTATTATACGAAAATATATATGTATAGAACTTATTTATAAAATATCAATTCAAGGAAATTTAAGTTATATACCACATTGTTTTGCTTAAAAAAAAAGAATTTACCAGATTCTTTTATACCGGTATACATGTCTATTATTATTGCTTCCGAAAGAAAATATTCATTTTCACTTTAGAATTAAGTGCAAAGTCTTTGTGAAAGCTTTAAAAGGCAAGAACACATGAGTCATAAACACTACTGCATTATTGATTATACTGCATATCCTTACAGTTTGAAAGTAGAATTGGAATACATATATACCATTAGTTTTAAAGAGCTTTTTAAATCCATTTAACGACGACGGACCTAATTCATTTCTGCAATAGATTTTTTATTCAAATTTTAATATGAGGTAAAGTGACTTTTGGTGAGTTAAAATCAATAAAAAAAAATCATATGGTCATCGGTGTAGATTTTTAATAGGGAGTGTTTCAAAAGTTGGCGATAGAAATCGATACCAGTAATTACTATATAGGAAGTAATGGGAAATTGCCAGTGTAGGGTATAAGAGTGATCATTGAAAAAAAAATCTGCAATAGAATTTTTATTCATATTAAAGGACAATGTTAACAAGACAATTTACCAGCAAATTATGCCAGAAAATAAATGGATCATCTGCTTAGATTTTTCAGGCGGACATGTCAAACTCAGGTGTGATGCACATTTTGGGGGAAATTTTCAATGAAAATATCTTGGCCAAATAAATCATTTATTTATAAAATTAACAAATGAATATAAATCGAATTATTTACAATATTTTTAAATTGAAAGGAAACGTTTGAATAACTTTAAGAGAATTAAAAATGTATATTTTTTATCTTTTGCAATACATAATTAAGTCAATTTGATTCAAGGCATATGCGCGGTTTTCTGCGCAGTGGCGCGAAATTTCGAATTAGGTCCGTCGTCCTTAACAAAATGTTTTAATAAACAAAAGATTGACTAAATCTATGAAACCCAAATAATAAAGCTGGAATGCTGAAGCAAAAAATACATAATGCATTCTGAATCTGATTTAATGTCATGAAATATTTTTAAAACAAGCTTAAATTTCTCTCTCCATAAAATATTACACTTATATTCTACAAATATATTCTTAACTAAAATAGAAATCGTGATTTTTTTAAATTCGTTAATTTTAATTCTGCTTAAATAAATGTAATGAATATTGCATTTTGAAGTTATGTAGATAAATTAACATTGACATCAGAAAAGGTAAATGTATCATTCTTCACTTTTTCTTACTAGAATCAATATTTGGTGAAACGTGTATCTGTACTATCAAGATTCTGAAGCGTCTATTTAGAGTAAGGACAGAAATATATACTGTACAAATTTAACCTGTAAGCTATTGTCAGATATTCGATTTTACTTTTTTCAGTTTCAATAACATCCATAGTGTAGTGTCACTTCTTTTCGGGTTTATTCGGTGTTTTCAGTCCACTTCCCCCTATATATAAACTACGAGATGAAATTCTTGGCCTGTCTTTTGCATTCATTGAATTCACCACCTCAAATATTTCGTTCAGTTTCTCCGATTGCTTTTCTAAAGCGCTCTTGTAAGTGACATCTTCGAGCTCGGATTTTTCCCTCTGGAATTTGACGACATCACTGATGCGGCTGTAGGCCATTTCCACCTCTTTCTTCAGGGACAGGCGTTCCTTGTCTTTCTCGTCCAGTTCCTGTATCAGAGTTTTATTTTCTATAGCGAGATGTTCTAAATCTATCTGATTCTGACAGTCCTTTTCTTTGAGACGGCTATTCTCGCCCTCCAAACTGGTTACTCTCTCTTGTAGATTTTGAATTTGTGATTTTAAGTCTTCATTGGTTATTTTCAGCTGTGCCTTTTCTGCATTTGATTGTGATAGTCTCTGCCATCTTTCATTCTCTTTTTCGCGCATTTCCTTCTGCATTTCTTTCAGTTTTTCATATTTTTCGGACAGTCTGTTATATTCTTCATTCGACCTTCTCAATTTCTCAACACTTGTTTGTAAGTTTCTAATAGCAGATTCGTTCATCTTCAACATAGTAGTCTTTTCATCTTCCCATTCTTTTTTGAACGCAGCCAGTTTTTCATCCATTCTCTTTTCCATCTCTTGTTTGTCTTCTGCTCGCATTTTCTGTATAGAATTGGAGATGTTGGAATTTATTTTCCCACCGAAGTCTGAGAGTAGACGTGACATCACTTGTTCTAATGCAGCTGCTCCGCCATAATTGAACCCCGCCGGTCCTGACGCACCTGAATGGTCGTAAGACCTTCGACTCTGAAAGCCATCAGCAATTACATTTATTGAACTATGAGCCATCAAAAATCATATAAAGTACATATATATGTATTTTTGATATAATAATCAAAAATGGAATACTACAAACCATGGCCGAGGTGACCCGAGATCGGGAGCGGTCCCTGTTGTAGGAAGAATTGCGGACTGGGGAAGTCCCTACAAATGCAAAACTATTTAGTAAACTCATATTTTCTTTGTGCAAAAAGTGCTTTAAAATATAACTCAGGATCTCAAAGGCATTTTGTTTTGTGGAATGTTATTCATCAAGTCTCTTTAGTGTTATTGAAACAGTTATAATTTATCTTCAGACTTCAATTTAACATAAACATGATAAGGAACTCATCTGTATAATTATTATTATTATTATTATTATTATTATTATTATTTTACAACAAATCGACATTTTAACTGAAAATTTAAACTAAACTGTATAACAAACGGAATGACTTTAGTTTTTCCATTGTCAGCTTCCCGTGTTTATGCAGTAATACTGTATACAGGAATTTTTTTTATTTTCGCCCCTTACGCCCTACACACAGGTAGGCAAAGAGCCATAGCGCATTTGATAGGCATTTTCGCCTACTCTACTAGTGATTTCTTAAAAACATTTTTTAACCAAAATTTTGTCATACAGTCTTAGTTTATACATGCGTAAAACCAAATCACACAATAATGATATTTAAAAGTTAATAGTTCCCTCATATGATAACTTTGAAAATTATCCAGGTTGTATAGAATATATAGTAAATATTGAGGTATCCACCTAACGATGACAAACTGTTGCCAAAGACCACCCTTAACCAGAAAAATAACTTTTGAATAATTTTATTTGGATATGTCTGCACTTCATTCCCTTTAGATAATTTTGGTTAAAGGTGGTCTTCATATTGAAAATGATGAAAATATATATTAAATTTTTCTTCTCATATAATCGTAAGATTTAGCAATCTGTCTTAAATTTATCAACTTGAAATCATTGACTTCGTTGGCGCAGCGGTATGATTGCTGGAATGTAAATATGATGATTGCGAGTTCGAGCCCCACATTTTTCTATTTATGTTTTTTTTTTTAAATTTTTTTTCTTTGTGTATCTTTTCTACGTTTTTCTTTATTATGTTTTATAATATACACAATTTCAGAAAGTTATACTATACACATTACACTTTGAAAGTATCTCGGGAAAAGCTAGACAGTCCTTTTAAAACTATTTTATAAAAGTTTGCAAATTCATAGCAACTTGTTTTATTTTTATTGATTTTCTGCGTAAATCTTTTGTCTCAGAATTAGAGTGTTGAACAAGTAAAATGATTGTCATTTGACATACTTGCAACTATGAAAATATAACACTCGTCCTCAAATCATATTACATAGTTTGCTCATGAGGTACAGTATATCTATAAATAGAAACAGGTGATTTCCTTTTAAATTCTTGAGTTTGTTAAAGAGAGTTGTAATTTAAAACGTGCCAAAAATGTTTGCAAATGTGAAAGAGTGAAAATAACCCTGTATACAGTAATCCAACATCACCTGCATATCGTGTTTATGTCTCCCAACTGATTCGATGTGCAAGAGCATGCTCTGAGTACGAACAATTTTTTAACCGAGGCAAGCTACTGACAAATAAGTTGATGTTTCTATAAACCGTTTAAAGTCAAGTTTTTCGAATCCTACGGTCGTTATAATGACCTTGTATGCAATTACAACCTAGCGTTGTGTCATGTTTTGTCTGAAGTTTGATACTATATTTGTAAGGTCATTGTTTGTTTTTTTTTACTAAATTTGACTACGGGGAACTCCATATACCTGATAAATACTTAGGACTCACGGCATGCGTGACCGGTCACCAGAGGAGCTTACTCCTAGGCACCATATCCCATCACTGGTGTATCCAGGGGTCCGTGTTTTGCCCTGTTCACGATTCGTTCTTTACTGGATTTATGAGATTGATCACTGTTCGTTACCTTTACATTTTACATTAGCCTCACCATAAATACCCTTCAATATCAATCTTTACAATTAATAAAAAGTGTTTAGGTTACTAGTATTTTACCTTTAATAAGAGTGGTTTCTACTTTTATTTTCTTTTTAAAATTAGTCAATTATTTGTATGAAATATATTAAATAACTTTACAAAAAAGCTACAGCACGTGTAAGAAGCACACATAGATTTGAAAGAATTGATTTGCTGAATCCTACAAACTGCTCTATCACTGTATTTCTGAGAAGTATGGCTACATGTTACAAACAGACACTCCTACATGTATTTGTAAACTATTTCGCTGTTGACTCACCACTGATGACGGTGTTTTGTAGTCTCTCCGCCATGTAATGATGTCTCTCTTCAGTCAAGGCTTCAAGAAACACAAAATACGTGTTAGGTTCCGGAGAAGAAAGCAGCAGCTGGATAAATTCATTGAACTTCTTCTGTGGAGTTGCAGGGCTCACATGTTCTATCCGCTCACGGTGTTCCAGGGTAAACACATCTTTTTCTATCAATCTGTCAATGATGGGGTCTAGATCCACAAGCCGTTCCTTCAGATTTGTGATGTTTTGGGTAATTCGCTTTCTCTGTTCTCGGTTCATCGTTTGACAATAGCTGCCACTTCATAACAAGGCAAAAAATAAAAGAACTTAAAAAGGAAAATTCAAATGAATCACCGAATATTTTCACAAGATCCCCCAGGTCTCCTCTTCAGTTCTTTCTCCTTTATAAAAATCCAGAAATAAATTGCGAGATTTGACAGCTTTGTATCAGGAAAAGGCAGAAGGTGCACGGTAAAATGATCATTCGATACTTATTCGAATATTCGAAAGTGGTCTGCAAATAAGAAAATCAAACAAAACAGAAGCTAAAATCGATATACATATACGGCTGATTTACAGGTTAGCAAACAGTTTGTGGATCCATACAAGAGGGCACTGTCAGAACAGTTGATAAATTACGTTGAACTTTCATGTACACAAAGTGTTTTTAAAAATGTCAATATTGATGTGTTTAGCAGGATTAAAGCGTAACAATACACAACAAAAACACGTCCAACGATTGATTGATATTCCAATAATTTATCATAAAAAAACCATTTTACTTTCGTCCGATCCACAGGAGTTACATAATAATGACATTATACGCCAAAAATAAAAAGGCATTTAAGAAACTTCTGAGTTCTTCCTTTTAATATTTTAATTAATTTCTTAATCATTAAGTAATAATCTTTTCATATCTACTCCCAGTAATTTATTGGATTAGAAAATAAGTAGGGATTTTACTACTGGGATATATATCATATTCAAGTTTGTCAATGATAATTTATGAACATAATTACACATTGATAGATATAGATGTAACATGTGAAATAAGAATATTAGTTCCCTGTGGCTTTATCATTTAAGACGACGTCCAGAACACGTTTTGTGAATAAAATTATGTATAAGATAAACGTCCAGAATAAGAGCTAGCTGGGAGGACTATCCCCCCCCCCAAAGCGCGATCAAAACATGGCTGATGAAATAATGCATTGAACAAAGTATTCGATGACGTACCATGGATGTTTTGCATGTTCATCTCTTGTCATCGCCGTCGCCTGCGTGGCACAGTGGTTAGAGCGTCTGCTCTAGAGTCGCGGAGTAAGGATTTGATCCTTACGTCGCGGGTTCGAATCCCACTGTGGGAAGTGGAGACCAGTCCTTCGGAGTAGACCGTATAAACCGAGGTCCCGTGCCGCAGTAGGTGCTGGCACGAAAAAGATCCCCGATCACTGCTCAATGGCCGTAAGTGCCGAGTATAGGACAACATTTGCAGCTCTCCACCGGCAAGTGGTGGCGTCTCCATATGAGTGAAAAATTCTCGAGAGGGACGTTAAACAACATACAAACAAACAAAATCTTGTCATCGCCTGTTTATATAGACCTTAAACATCTTTTTCAATGATAATGTGAAGTTTTTCCCACTTATTTTCTAAAAATCTCGAAGAGTATGGAAAAATTAACAGTAAAAACAAAATAAAACGTTTTTAAAACATAGTCAATAGAAAATATATGTCTACATGTATTTTTAAGGAAAAGCTTTATATATTTGAATTTGTGATTATCTTATCAAACGTATGAAATGTTTTAAAAAATGCGCAAACTCTACTCGCACTGAAGAGATAATCATATCATATACTTGATAAACACCTGAAGGTTTTCATGATCATCCATAACTCCTGGCTAGCTGAATAGAAATTTAGAAGTATGAATATCTGACCATGAAAGGTGAGACATTTACATTCATTTAACATCAGAGGCAATTCAAAATGAGTCCAGGCAGTTAGATTCGGGGGGGGGGGGGGGGGGCTGGGGGGCTTTTTTTCCCAAACATTACTTTTTACTATTGAAAATGTTCAATGAAAGGCTGGTTGCCCCCCACCCCACCCCCACTTTTTGTTGCAGTATTGTATCAGGGTATTGTGCTATTATTGTACTACTATATGAATAAAATTTGATTATGAAGTAAGTGAGAACCTACCCCCCCCCCCTTTTCCCACGAAGTAGGATTTTTCTAATTTGGAGAATATTCCTTTTATTCTTTTTGCTAGTCAAAAAATTTTTTCAGTGTAAGTTGATTTTTTTTTCTCTCTCTGCCCCCCCCCCCCTCTCCGAACTTTCAAAAACGATACTAATTGCCTGGAGTCTTGCTGGTATGTTCACTAACTTTCCTCAAATATATCCTAAGATTGTTCCTAAGATATTACTTAAGAAGAAAGTTAGGAACATCCTAAGATCAGATGTAGCTGGACGATATTTTAGAAACATCTAAACTATTTACAACAGGATACGAGCACTAGAGAGTGTAGCTTTGGTAAGCAGAGTTGAGTCTTGTTCGTTCGCTACTGCTTTCTTTGGAGCCGTGTCACACCAGCGTTATATTTCCACTTTGGGCTACAAGTACTCAGCAATACCTGATATAAGCTTTTCTTTTCCTTTTTTGGTTCAATTTTAAATCTACTGTAAAAATTCTTTTATATTGTGCTGATTAAATTTATCCTTTTCAGAGTTCTGTACCACTTCCCAGTAGTGAGGGAGACAGTAGAACGATCTGGCTAAGGTTGAGGTGCGGAAGTTAGATTTTCGGTATCAATGATATTCAATGATTTGGAGATTAATTTGCAAAAATGCTGGTAACGATATAAAACATTTTCAGTGTGATAAGTTAATCTTTCGGTAATTTTAAATATCGATTTTAGGTAATACAAAACTAAGATTTATTAGCATTATCTCCCTTTGAATACTCAATGAGATACGAATGTTGTGCCATTAAAGTGCATTCTTAAATGGTTGGCCCTAACTCCATATTTTTGTTCACTGAAAAATCTAACATTTTTACTTTCAAGATAAACGTTCAAAAAGTGAAAGGTACATCGTGCCTTCTACTTAAGATGCATTATCTGTCCAAATTTGATGATTTTAGGCCAAATAATTTTCCAGTTATATTTCTGGATGCAGTTGGGGGGGGGGGGTTATTGCACAAATTAATGTAGAAAATAGAAATTCCTTGATACGCAAAAAAAGGAAGAGGATCAACTGAAGTTCCCTCCCCCTTCCCCCGTTCATACAGACGTGAGATACATAAATCACTTGTATATAGAACTGGACATTCAACTTTGCCCAGAATGCTTCATGTCGGTAATAAAAGAAAATATTTTACAATAATGATTTCAAAATTTAATCGGTCATGCAATACAGCCTGCTAGATTATCCCACAGTCTAGCTATAGTCACAGTAAAATGTGTAATTTCCTCTTCTTTCTTTTTATTTTCTTTTGGCAAAAAAAAAAAAAAAATTACAAACTTTATTTCATATGTAGTTCATTATGACGAGGAAGAGTGATATTTTCATAAGAAAGATTAAATCCAAATCATGATTATACTTTAAATCTGATGTATATGTTTTCTACATTGAGTTACCTGTTTAAAGCTTTAACATTACATGTATTTTGTTTTTGCAGTAAATATAGATCGAATACAACATTAGGCTATATATTACCCTATCCACAAATAAAGGGCCAAAATATGATTATAAACTGAAAACAAGTTAATTGTTAAAACTAAAGGGAAGCATATACATACTTTTATTTTTTATCGGTCTTAGTATTAAACTCTACACTTGGAATAAGAAATTTCTTTAAATATTGTAATGGCTTATTCCCCGAACGGCTACTCGCCAAAATCTAATTATCACACCCAATTAAGGGGCCCTCTAAGGGGTAAAGGTAGACTTATCTGTATGAATAAATTACCTGAATTTCAATGCATATAAACAGAACAATCTATCAAGTCATTTTTAGTTCAATATATCCTGTAAAATGTTTTTTTTTAATGTTTTAAATTTATTTCTCTATTTTATTTCTCTATTTATTTTTAAAATAGAGAATTCACATCTATTGATTTTAAATACTCCCCCCCCCCCCCCCATTGTTTTATTGCCTATACACATCGGCAGATTTCACACATATAATCGTCCTAATTTACACAAAGCAAATGCTGGGGAAAAACAAACACAAGCCCAATAAATTACACATTTCTTTCTTAAAAAATCATTGCCCTAAACGTCATTGCTAAAAGCACACTCAACAAGGAGTAGCAATTCCTGCCCTAAGAGATATATTGTACAAAAAAATAAACACAACAGCTAGGGTTAATCCATCTTTCTTCATATGATGTAAACAAACTCTCTTTAATTTTATGTGTTTAAGTCAAGATTAAACCATTTTGCACCACCCGGACCTTTAAACTTAGGCGGACCTTTTCTTATACGGACCGGACCTTTTCTTATAAAAGGCGGACCTTATATGTTATCGTATTAGGTCCCTTCGGACCTTTAAACGAGGCGGACCGAATATTATGCGACACCGGGCAGGGTTTTGCCATGTTTAGTTATATAATCGACATTATTAAAAGTCACGTGACTTTGATGATTCTAGGACAAATAGTACATATATTAAGCGTACGTGATTGCCATACCATAATGTGTCTCGTCATAAAAGGGGTATACAAAAAATTGAATCCATACTTAGGAATGTTGACAAAAATTCTGATTTAGTTGTACCCTGCTACTCAGACCACTCTTGAAACAATTTTTCCCATGTAAAACTTTAATCACCTACCGTGGCCTCATCCTTACTCCAAGTCATGATTTGAACAAACTTGAATTTCAACTGAGGATGCTGCATTTCACTACAACTGATCACAACAGCTGTTCTTCAAATTAAATTTTTTAAAGATGTTTTCCTATTTACTCCACGGTTAAACTAGATGTACTTTGATGTCCTTTTGAGGACCCATCCTGCCCCCAGGGGCCTTGATTAGAACAAATTTGAACCTACACTACCTGAAGATGTTTGCATAGTATGACTAATCATGGCCCTGCTGTTCTTCAGATTTCTAAAGCTTTTTTACCTTTACATTCCCAGCAATCTCATAAAAATTTTGATCTTCTACTGTGGCCAAATCCTACCCTGAAAAGATGCCCATACACACAAGGGAAATTTTGAATTAGCAATACAAACTTGAATGAGAAAGTAAACACATGAATTCATAGCTTACACGGATATTTATTCATATTGAAGTTTTCTATATATCTTTGCTGAAGTTCTTTTAATGCAGACCAAACAATGACAAAAAGATGTAAAACAATTTCATAACTATTCAAGCTAATTCATATTCCAGACTTTCTTTAAAATGCTTTTTCACGGTATTCCATTGTCCTTGTAAAACTCATGTGTTTTTAAATAATTTCTGATTGATCCATATGTTCTGAGTAATTGAGATTATCATGCTATATCCTTTTCTTTTAGATTCCGTACATTTCCCTCATGTTGTTCCTGCAGGCCTGGAGGACTTGCTGTACCGTACACTGCTGGAAGAAGGCCACTCTCTCTGCTACAGTGATGGCCATACCGGGGTGGGACAATGCCATCTCCTCTTTTGGAATCTTTAAAGAAAAAAACAAGTGTCAGAATTGCTACAAAATAATGTCTCTCTCATTACTGGTTTGAACTTGAAACTAGAACGTCCAAAATAAAGAAATACGCATTTTCCCCCATATTTGGCCACATTATATTTAACTAAAGGTTCAGTGGCCTAACTTAAATGTGTGACACACATATCCAAGATGCATCAGCTGAAAAATGTTGAATGATTCTAGGCCTTGTGGTATTCAAGTTATAATTAAAATCTAAAACAAAAATGACTAAGTCCACAAAAATTTAAAAATAAGGTCCATGGGCCCCAATGCTCACCAGAGTAACTTTAGCCCTATTGTTTTCCAGTAGACTTTTAAAAGAGATTTTTTATATTACAATGAAAAACAAGAGGCCCATGGGCCACAGCACTTACCTGAGTAACTTTGGCCTTGCTGTTTTTCTCCTGATTTCTCCCCCCTCCCTGTAGTACTTATTGTGGCCCCGCCCTACCCCTAGGGGTCATGATTTGAACAATTAGAATCTACACTACCCCAGGATGCTTCCACATAAGTTTCAGCTTTTCTGGCCCAGTGGTTCTTGAGAAGAAATTTTTTTTAAAGACTTTTTCTGCATATTTCAATGAAAACTTGGATTCCCTATTGTGGCCCGCCCTACCCCCCGGGAACATGATTTGAACAATTTAGAATCTACACTACCCCAGAATGCTTCCATATAAGTTTCAGCTTTTCTGGCCAAGTGGTTCTTGAGAAGGAGATTTTTAAAGATTTTTACTACATATTTCAATGTAAAACTTGGATTCCCTATTGTGGCCCTGCCCTACCCCCGGGGGTCATGATTTGAACAATTTAGAATCTACACTACCCCAGGATGCTTCCACATAAGTTTCAGCTTTTCTGGTCCAGTGGTTCTTGAGAAGAAGATTTTAAAAGATTTTTCCTATATATTTCAATGTAAAACTTGGATTTCCTATTGTGGCCCTGCCCTACCCCCGGGGGTCATGATTTGAACAATTTAGAATCTACACTACCCCAGGATGCTTCCACATAAGTTTCAGCTTTTCTGGTCCAGTGGTTCTTGAGAAGAAGATTTTAACAGATTTTTCCTATATATATTTCAATGTAAAACTTGGATTCCCTATTGTGGCCTCGCCCTACCCCCGGGGGTCATGATTTAAACAATTTAGAATCTACACTACCCCAGGATGCTTCCACATAAGTTTCAGCTTTTCTGGCCCAGTGGTTCTTGAGAAGAAGATTTTTAAAGATTTTTCCTATATATTTCAATGTAAAACTTGGATTTCCTATTGTTGCCCCGCCCTACCCCCGGGGGTCATGATTTGAACAATTTAGAATCTACACTACCCCAGGATGCTTCCACATAAGTTTCAGCTTTTCTGGCCCAGTGGTTCTTGAGAAGAAGATTTTAAAAGATTTTTACTACATATTTCAATGTAAAACTTGGATTCCCTACTGTGGCCCCGCCCTACCCCTGGGGGTCATGATTTGAACAATTTAGAATCTACACTATCCCAGGATGCTTCCACATAAGTTTCAGCTTTTCTGGCCAGTGGTTCTTGAGAAGAAGATTTTTAAAGATTTTTCCTATATATTTCTATGTAAAACATTGATTCCACATTGTGGCCCTGCCCTACCCCTGGGGGTCATGATTTGAACAATTTAGAATCTACACTACCTCAGGATGCTTCCATATAAGTTTCAGCTTTACTGGCCCTGTGGTTCTTGAGAAGAAGATTTTTTAATGACCCCACCCTATTTTTGTCTTCTCTTGATTATCTCCCCTTGTGAGGGGACTTGGCCCTTCATTTTAACAATTTAAATTTCCCTTCACCCAAGGATGCTTTGTACCAAGTTTGGTTAAAATTGGCCCAGTGGTTCTTGAGAAGAAGTCAAAAATGTGAAAAGTTTACAGACGGACGGACAGACAGACGGACGGACGGACGACGGACAAAATGTGATCAGAAAAGCTCACTTGAGCCTTTGGCTCAGGTGAGCTAACAAGAGGTCAATGGGCCACATCACCTACCTGAGCACTGTGGCTGAGAAAAAAGCAAAAATCAATTCAGCATTGAAGAGCTAAAAGTGGTCCTGACCTCCCCCTAATAGGGGAAAGGGGGTATGATTTGAACAAACTTAAATCTACACTAACTAAGGATGCTTAAATATTTTTTTGACTTACTGTGGCTTTTTTCCTATCAGTTTGAACTTTCATTGTGGTCCCACCCTACCCCCGGGGGTCATGATTTGAACAAATCTGAATCTTTGAACAAATCTGAATCTACACTACCTGAGTATGATTCCATATAAACATGACCAATCATGGCTATGCTGTTCTTGAGAAGATATTTCTTATATATTCCTTTATAAAACTTTGATCGTCCATTGTGGCCCCACCCTACCCCCAGGGGTCATATTTTGAACAAACTTGAATACACTACCTGAAGATGATTCCATGTGAGTTTCTTCTTACCTGGCCCAGTGGTTATTGAGAATATTTTTAAAAGATGCTTTTAATTTTTCACTAATTTGTAATTATCTCCCCTTGGAAGAGAGCATGGCCCTTCATTTGAACAAACTTGAATCCTCTTCACCCAAGGATACTTTGTGACAAGTTTGGTTGAAAATGGCCCAGTGGTTCTTGAGAAGAAGTCGAAATCTGAAAAGTTTACAGACAGACAGATGGATGCTGGACAAAATGTGATCAGAAAGGCTCACTTAAGCCTTCGGCTCAGGTGAGCTAAAAATTAGAACCTACATTAGTCGGAAAGCTTTCACTTAATTTTCATCTTTATTGGCCCAGTGGTTTGAAAGATTTTAAAAGATTTCCCCCTATATATTTCAATGTAAAACTTTGGTCCCCTATTGTAATCCCACCCCAGGGGCTTTGCTTTGAATAATTCTTAGAATCTATATTACCTCATGAAGATTTCATACAATTTTTAATTTTTCTAGGCCAGTGGTTCTTTAGAAGATGAATTTCATTTATCTAAAGATCCTTTGTGCCAATACTTTTGTTAAAACTGGTCCAGTGCTTCTTAAGAAGTCAAAAATGTGAAAAATTTACTGAAGGATGGACATGCTGGTTCCAATGTACCCACCTAAACTTTGCTGGGGGGAAGGGGAGGTGTAATCTGGGAAAAGGATGGGCTTGGAATACTTTCATTTTGTTTTTGTACTCCATAACAAGTCCCTGGGGTGGGGTAGGGGGTTTATAGATACAAATATCTGTCTAAAAGTTTGTCCAAATACAGAATTACCAGGTATATATCATGTTGTACTTTGCTTGTATACCAAGTATTTTTAAATGTGACCAAATCTCACAAAACACACAATTTTTTTTCAAGTCCCCAAGCCAATGCCATTCATCACAATCAAACAGCAAAAAATAGAAGTTTCTTGACGTGATTTATCTGTGTGTATCCAAGTTTTATTGAAATCACACAAAACCTCTAGAACAGTAGTGTTTTGAAACACCAAGACAGACCGATGGTTGAAAGATACTAAGCTCTTCAGGTCTTTGACCAGTAAAGCTTAAAACTGATTTGCACTTGTGGCCTCTAACTGATCCAAGCCCATATTTTGAACACTTAAGTATCAGAATGCATAGCTGTTTACTCATATTGCCATAATGAACAAATTATTTCTAAGTGAGAAATGTTTCTCCCTCTTATAAACACCGTTTTCCCTATGGTGACCATGCAATCATGGAGACTGTAATTTGAACAAAATTACATTGTAATGTACATGTCAACCACATGAGAAGGTGTAAATTGCTCTCTGAAATTTTAAAGAAATATTTCTATGGAATCTGGATAGGGCCTTGTAGTTCACTATTGCATTATCGAGGTTTGGGTCAATAGTCCAATGACAATGAAGCAATGATGATGAAGCGATGGTGCAATAGTGCATTGATGATAATGTGATGGTGCAACGTGATGAAGATGATATGATGGCAGTGATAGCACGATGACACGTTGGTGCGATAGCTATGACAGGATGGTGTGATGATGATGAAGCAATGTTCACTATCAGTTCATCATGCTATGGCACCATTGTCATCACATTGTCATGTCATTGTCATCACGCCATTGCTTCATCATCATCCCTTTAGTTGATGCTTGGTGGTGCGATATTGAGCTTTGTTGAACATTGATCCATATTCCATATATTTCCTATATATATTTGCTAAATATTTTCATTCCTTTTCATGGCCATACAAGAGGTCTGATGGTTTCAAAGAAAACCTCCATGTCTTACTTATTGCCCCAGGCTCTGCCACCCATGATCATGTGCTGTACGTAATTTAAAGGAAACTATATGTACATTTAGATTCTATCCATACCATAACAATTTGAAATTTTTAAGAGCTCTGTAAACTGAAGCTTTATTTGTAAAATGATATTTTTGAGAGATCTATCTTTATATATATTTATCTTTTACAAAAATTCACATTGATCCAATACAACCCCCTCTCCCTTCTCCCCTCTTTCATCTCCCCAGGATGTGGTTGTGCAATAAAAATCAGAAAAGATTACAATGAATTACTTTTCTAGGCAAGAAATATGGTGCATCTGTCTCTAATAGCAGTTTGTTGAGTGGAATATAGCGGGCAACATTGTGGGTCTGGACACACTGTCTGTAGGTCACCATTGGGGTCAGGCCTATAAACAGTCTAGGAAAGGCTTCAATCCATCGGGTAGCTCCTGTGTAGTCCCCAGTAAAACAGTGACAGTGGATTTTATAATTCTTAGGTACCATCTGGAAAAGACAGTCAAAACTAGAAAACTGATCAGTGAGCATGCCCCCAACTAGGGGATTAAAATACAGGAAGAACAATGTGAAACAAGTACTGTATTATGACACTGAAATATGTTCCTAAAAAAGAAAGGCCTTTTCATAACAATGTTCAATTGAGTCGCTCATTAGAAAGATTTTAAGAAAAGATTTTTTTTCTCCTTTCTATCCTGTGAAAAACTTTATCTAAATGTCAAATTGAAAGCCACAGCAAGGAACTTCTTCTTTTCATGTGGAAATTTTTTAATAAACTCTGCTTCATATGAATACAAAAACTGGTCTGCTAGTAATGGGGCACATATAGTACCCATGGAAATTCCAACAAACTATTGAAAGTCTTGGTCTCCAAAAACTACATAGATATTGTCAATCAGAAACTCAAGGATCTTTTAATATCAACTTCTGAGTACTTGTGTGTAGAATCAGTGTGTTTAACAAGAAGTCTGTGAGCCAATGCTCACTAGTAATACCCCCGCTCTGATGTGAGTACACACTCTAAGCATGGATAAACAGGAAGTTGACATCAGATTCATATAAAAATAAATTCCACCATATGGCATGCCTAAACAAAGAGTGTGTTAAAATTTCAAGCATCTGCGATGAGTAGTTGCTGAGAAAACTGCGATGAAAATTTGCTATGTATGGTACAGACAAATGCACGGATAAACAGGAAGTTGACCACAGATTCATACAAAAATGAATCCCACCATATGACATGCCTAAACAAAGAGTGTGTTAAAATTTCAAGCATCTGTGATGAGTAGTTGCTGAGAAAACTGTGACGAAAATTTGTGATGTATGGTACGGACAAACGCATGGATGAACAGGAAGTTTACCATGGATTCGTACAAAAATGAATCCCACCATATGGCATGCAAGGTTCTCCATCATTTCAGATTTAACTGTGGTGCAAGTGCTAATATTCGCGGTCAATTTGCGACTGAATTTGCGAAGGAACCACGAAATAAATTGAAAAACACACTGCCCCTATGAATCAATAGTTTAATACACAAATTAATTAATGACATTAATTAGTTGGAAAAATGATTGCTAAATTCAATAATAAAAACAATTAATCAATAAAAATAGCGTTAAACAAAAATTAGGATGTTTCCGAAATACATGTATACTTTGACAAAAGAACCCCCCCTCCAACGCATACGTACTTATAAATAAACAAATATTAGCTTATAGAATCTGAAAATACATGTAATAGTACCAGTAATTATAACTTTCTAGCATTTAACCCTAATTTAAAAATAATATTGTTTACCTGCCGTGTTCATTAAAGGACAGACGAAATTCTGGTAGGTCACCAGTCATATTTACATTTAGTCTATATATTTGCAATTGTTAATCTGAAGTATCTTAAAACTTGTGAATTAAAAAAAAGAGTTTAGGGTCATCAAATTATATTTTGGTGGATGTATTCATTATTTGTTAATTTTCAACATTACATAAATATATGAATATTTACGATCGATACACGTACGATTTTTTACTCACAGTGCCAATGCAATTTTAGAAACTTACATGTAGTTATCTGTAAAATCTGTAAAACAATTAAAGCAATGAATTAATTGGTATTTTAAAGTTCAGTTGTAATTATCATGAAGTGTGAAAAAATGGCTTGTCACTTTTCATTCATGTGTCTAGCGAGGTCTGGAAGATAATTAATTGTAAAAGCCAAACAGTGGATCCTAATGAGAGCACATTAACAATTTAGCATTAGAAACTGAAACACGCCTTTAAGGTACATAATTAAGAGGTTTATTTGATTAATAAATTTATATATTATCTTACTGACGACTACAATCTTACTGTGGCGCTAATATTTTAATATTTTAACTGTGGCGGAACTGTGGCGCTGATTTTTTAACTGTGGCGCTGGAGAATTTAACTGCGCCACGTTAAACGGCCCATGGAGAACCCTGGGCATGCCTAAACAAAGAGTGTGTTAAAATTTCAAGCATCTGCGATGAGTAGTTGCTGAGAAAACTGTGACAAAAATTTGTTATGTATGGTATGGACAGACGCAAGGATAAACAGGAAGTTGACCACAGATTTGTACAAAAATAAATCCCACCATATGGCATGCCTAAACAAAGAGTGTGTTAAAATTTCAAGCACCTGCAATGAGTAGTTGCAGAGAAAACTGCGATGAAAAATTTGTTACGGACAGACAGACACACAAGGGTAAAACAGTATATTCCCCTCTCCTTCGGAGCGGGGGTATAATAAATCCCACCATATGGCATGCCTAAACAAAGAGTGTGTTAAAATTTCAAGCATCTGTGATGAGTAGTAGCTGAGAAAACTGTGACAAAAAGAGCAAGAGCCACTTAGGGCCTTTTTTGGCCCTGTGAATTTCTGAAAATTCAAAACTGTATAGTTTTAGTCAACAAGGCAATGAATAATACTTGAGCTCTTGGTGAATGAATATCTACTGAAAATGACGTAATTTTCTTTCTAGTCAATGCATTATGACGTCATGAATTGCGTCATTATTCACTTATCCTGAATATTTCTTCAAAAATAGCCAAATTATGCTGCCATTTTTCAATATTTCATATACAGCACAACCTCCGATCCAAAATGTGTAAATATGTTGTAAAAGAACTGTTAATGAAGATTATAAAACATATTTTAATTTTTGGATCGAGGGGTGTGCTCATATTTTAATTCTTTGCTGAAGGTTCTCAAAAACACCTGTTTTCTGCGAAATTCAATAACATTGCAATTTCACACAACCTGTTTTTCAATGCCTGGACTCTTCAAAGGAAATTCTGTTGTATAAACTGAAAGCACTAAGTGTCTACTTTATAAGAATGTTGAAAATGGTACACGGGGTATTAGTCAATAAATTGGTATATCTACAGGGCCATTTTATGCATAAAGTGAACCTTACTCTTTGTTATGTGTGGTACCGACAGACGCACGGATAAACAAGAAGTTGACATCGGATTCGTACAAAAATAAATCCCACCATATGGCATGCCTAAACAAAGAGTGTGTTAAAATTTCAAGCATCTACGATGAGTAGTTGCTGAGAAAACTGTGACGAAAATTTGTTTTGTATGGTACGGACAGACGCAAGGATAAACAGGAAGTTGACATCGGATTCCTACAAAAATAATTCCCCCCATATGGCATGCCTAAACAAAGAGTGTGTTAAAATTTCAAGCACCTGCAATGAGTAGTAGCTGAGAAAACTGCAATGAAAAATTTGTTACGGACAGACAGACACACACAGACAGACACAAAAGGGTTAAACAGTATACCCCCCCTCTCCTTTGGAGGGGGGGTATTATAAAAAAAAAACAAAATGAGTTTGTGGATGACCAGTGACAAGATGTTTTCAAACAACAAAAATATTGTTTCTATTTCTTGGTTTTGTTCCTGCTGGCCCTGATAATGATCTTGTTCTATAGGAAGCCATTTCATAATGATTCAAACTTCAATCTGTCAAAATAACTCCCCGATTATTTTAACACCTGTACTGATAACTTACCAGTACATAGTCTACTGTACATAGCCACCTGCATTGTTTACATGAAATTAAAAGTGCAAACTAATTTACAAACCAAATCTGGAAATAAAGAATTTTCCAGTGACCGTTGTTTGGTAAAAATCAGGTGAAAAGCATGACCTGCTGTGTTATGAAAAATAAGCAGGTTTAATACGGGTGGAAAACTGGGTGTAACCTGACAAAATCTGGTGAGTTGGCTTCTATGATTTAGTGCAAACTACTTCCACAATATACTGAAAAAGGTATTTCAGCAACTGGCAAATTTAGCAATTTTATCCTAAAAATAATCATTGTTAGCATAATTAACTTTTAGCAATTTAAGGGATAATTCTATTCATACTTGGATAATCCATGGGATTGAATAATTAGTGACTTCTATTTTTAGCATTGCCAAGACCATCGCTAATAATGTCAAAATTAGATAATCGCTAAAAATTCATTGTATGGTAAACTACTTTTGCTCTTGAAGGTAGGACTGAAAGCTGCTAAACATGGAGTCTTAAATTGTATTTGGACGGAAAATGCTGGTTGCCTGTCATGTTAGACAGGGAGTCACTGAATTCATTTAAAATATAATGCAAAATTCTTCAGAGGAAATTTTGTGGTCACAGAAAGTCACTTAATACAGAGAATCTCTATGGAAGGCTTGACTGAATGACCATTCATGTTATGACGATGGCCCTACTGTTCTTGAAAAGATTTATAAAGATTTTTTCTACATGTCAAAGTGTGAAAAGTTTAGAGACAACACACAATACATGACAGACAGATGGGCCTGGACACTCTTTGATCAGAAAAGCTCACTCATGTTAGGTCTTTTTAGCTACACAAACTTAGAAGCTTTTTAGTGGGCTTTTTAGTAGGTCCACATTTATACAGAGATAAAATGTTAATTTAAATAATTGGACATCAAGACAAGCCAGTTTTTGAGCAATTTTCATACAGGAAGTGTGCAATGTACAGTGTACATGTGACATTATTCTACAAAAAAATCACTCCAATGCAAGCAAGCATTTAGAGAACTGAAACTGACAGACAGATTCTCACTGATGATAAGAATTCACAGTACACTCTACAATTCACTAGTTATTAAACCAATACTGACACCAACACTGACCTCCTTTAGAATCTGGAGACAGTCTTCTTCAGCATCCCTGCAGTGAATGACAAGTGGTTTCTCCATCTCTAGAGCCAGCTGTATCTGTCTCCGGAACACAATCTTCTGTACATCCATATGTTGTTTAAATCTGCAACAAATATCATCTTTGAAAAACAGTGTCTACAGACAGACAGGCAGCCAAACAAATAGAAGTAGTAATTCCTGCATACCCTCTCTTCCAACTTATTTTGTGTAGAGTCAGAAAAGCTGCACTCACGTTCCTGAGTAATCCAGTCCTATTTCTCCTAGAGCCACTACTTTACGGTGTTGTAGACAGGTTTTCAATCCATTATAACTCTGTAGAGAGAAGTCAGTAGCACTCTTTGGATGGCAGCCAAATGCCAGCCACACATCTTCTTCGTATGACACATCCTTCCACAGCCCTGAAATCATTCAAGTCAATGTATAGCACCTCAAATAGACATGTTCCCACTTTGAATGAACATGGGTACAAGTTGTTTTGTACATTCTAGTTTTAAAAAAAAACAATCTTAACTTTGAAACAAGAGGCCCATGGGCCACAATGCTCACCTGAGTTACTTTGGCCCTGCTGTTCTTCAGCAGACCCCCCCCACCCCCACCCCCCGTAATACTTATTGCTGCCCCGCACTAACCCCGGGGGTCATGATTTTAAAAATTTAGAATCTTAACTACCCAAGGATGCTTCCACATAAGTTTCAGCTTTTTTGGCCCAGTGGTTTATATATTTCAATGTAAAACTGTGATTCTCTATTGTGGCCACGCCCTACCACTGGGGGCCATGATTTGAACAATTTAGAATCTACACTACCCAAGGATGCTTCCACATTAAGTTTCAGCTTTTCTGGCCCAGTGGTTCTTGAGAAGAAGAATTTCAAAGATTTTATATAAGCCTATATATTTCAATGTAAAACTTTGATTCCTTATTGTGGCCCCGCCCTATCCCGGAGGCCATGATTTGAACAATTTAGAATCTACACTACCCCAGGATGCTTCCACATAAGTTTCAGCTTTTCTGGCCCAGTGGTTCTTGAGAAGATTTTTTAATGACCCCACCCTATTTTTGTCTTTTCTTGATTATCTCCCCTTGTAAGGGGGGCTGGCCCTTCATTTTAAAAATTTTAACTCCCCTTCACCCAAGGATGCTCTGTACCAACTCTGGTTAAAATTGGCTCAGTGGTTCTTGAGAAGAAGTTGAAAATGTGAAAAGTTTACAGACGGATGGACAGACAGACAGACAGACAGATGGACGGAAGATGGACAACAGATGATCAGAAAAGCTAACTTGAGCTTTCAGCTCAGGTGAGCTAAAAATATCTACCTATTGTAAATATTGAGTTCTTGTACATGCATAGAATGCCCAGATGAATCTTACATTTTATATGGATTAACCAAGATCCAGCAATACATGAAAATAAACAAAAGAAAACAACTTACCATCTGCTTTAAAGGTAAAAGGGTTACAGAAGACAGCTACACAACCTGCAAAGTTGTCTGGGAATGTCTCCTCATTAACTGCCTTAAAACGACTCCATGAACCACAGAACCTCTGACGACTGAACAAGAAGTCAATATGACAGTGGGAGTCAAAGTAAGGCTCACCATAACTGTTACAAGTTCTCTTAAAGTTCTCCTTCCAGTTGTATGACAATGCACTGGTCTTTGGTGAATAGCTGAGTCTAGAATGTTGATAGAAGCGTAATCGATGAGGTAACAAACTAGCACCAGTAATGCTATTGGAGTCTCCTGAGAGACTAGACATCTCCTGTGTGTTTGACACTTCCATGCTGGTGTAGTATTCTGTGTGCCTATTTTCTGGGGCACTTGCAGATCTGAAGTGTCTTTTTAAGGTTGATTTCTCCTCCTCATTTGCTTCATACTCCTGTCTCCCCATCAAAGGAGAATTAGCAGAACTTCCACAGCTTGCCCAGAAAGGCTGCCATTTTGCTGTTGATGGTTTTGACACACTGGGAACATCAATGACTTTCTTCTGAATACTGGAGTATTGTTCAGACATAGAAGAAAATGATACCAATGAAGATGCTCCATTAGGTGGTCGTGGTAATTTGTCTATAGAAACCTTCTGCCCACTGTAAGACATTGTTTCTGATGTCTTTGTCTGTACAATGTCATTTAATTTTACAGAAACAGATGGCCTGGGTGACTTCTTCCCATCTTTACATCTCGGAGAGGTACGTGAAGTTGGTGTGCCTATAACGGTTCTTGAAAACTTCTTTCCTAAAATTTTTGGACTCTTAGACTTTGAAGAGACCACAGATTTTGGCATGATTTGAGAGTTCCGTTCAGGAGAATAAACATTTTGTTCTTCTTTGTAATTTATTATTCCTTCATGTGTTTTCCTTCCATAATGCTTGCTTTCAAAACTTTCCGTCAATCTTTGTACATCTAAAGCACAGTCGAGACTCCTTGTTGTAACGCTCCTCATGTCTATTGGCCCAATAAAACCAGAAGTGGAGGGTGCTAGTTTACTGTTGTCACTCTTCTTTTTAGCTGGTCCTCTCTCTTCACTGTTTTTCTTCCTCTTCACACCAGCATGGCCAGTGGAGACAACTACGTCTGGCACTGATTCTGTCTGCTCTCCATCTGATGACTCGCTGCTCTCTGAGGAAACATAATCCACAAGGTTCTTCTTAAGGACTAAAACATGCTGTTGACTGGCAACAAAGAACTCCTTGATTGTCCTCAGAGCATCAATAGAACTTGGGGCACTGCTGCTGTTGTTGTTGGAGTCTGTCTGTGTTGAGGGGAGATAACTCTTACTGATGTCACGCTTACCAGATACTGTCATAGCAGAGACACTAGGAGTTAGTCCTGTTGTTGACTCTGTTTTGAATTTTAAAACAAAAGATTTGAATTACCTGGTAATAGTAATAATGTTGTATACACATGATAAAGCAGAAGAGACATCAACAAGCATGTGGTATTGATTTTTTTATACAATTGAATGTATTCCTTTACACCACGTACTGTTAAGGAACATGTGATGCCTGGGCAAACATTTAGGATATAACTAAGAGTGTTCCAAAGAATGCATGTAATGCTTGCTATACCATCATTAAAGACAGTAATAAAGCTAAAGCGTGGTTCTTTTTTGCATACTAGCATTATAGTTCATACAAAGAAAACATCATAGCAAAAAAAACAAGAGGCCCATGGGCCACATCGCTCACCTGAGTAACTTTGGCCATGCTGTTCTTTACCAGATTTCCCCCCTTTTAATATACCTATTGTGGCCTCGCCCTACCCCCGGGGGTCATGATTTGAGCAATTTAGAATCTACACTACCTCAGGATGCTTCCAAATATTTCTCAGCTTTATTGGTCCTGTGGTTCTTAAAAAGAAGATTTTTAAAGATTTTTCTTATATATTTCAATGTAAAACTTGGATTCCCTATTGTGGCCCCGCCCTACCCCCGGGGGTCATGATTTGAACAGTTTATAATCTACACTACCCCAGGATGCTTCCATATAGTTTCAGCTTTTCTGGCCCAGTGGTTCTTGAGAAGAAGATTTTTAAGATTTTTCCTATATATTTCAATGTAAAACTTGGATTCCCTACTGTGGCCCCGCCCTACCCCCGGGGGTCATGATTTGAACAGTTTATAATCTACACTACCCCAGGATGCTTCAATATAAGTTTCAGTATTTCTGGCCCAGTGGTTCTTGAGAAGAAGATTTTTCCTTTATATTTCATGTAAAACTTAGATTCCCTATTGTGGCCCCGCCCTACCCCCGGGGGTCATAATTTGAACAATTTAGATTCTACACTACCCCAGGATGCTTCAATATAAGTTTCAGCTTTTCTGGCCCAGTGGTTCTTGAGAAGAAGATTTTTAAAGATTTTTCTTATAAATTTCAATGTAAAACTTGGATTCCCTATTGTGGCCCCGCCCTACCCCCGGCGGTCATGATTTGAACAGTTTATAATCTACACTACCCCAGGATGCTTCCATATAGTTTCAGCTTTTCTGGCCCAGTGGTTCTTGAGAAGAAGATTTTTAAAGATTTTTCCTATATATTTCAATGTAAAACTTGGATTCCCTATTGTGGCCCCGCCCTACCCCCGGGGGTCATGATTTGAACAATTTAGAATCTACACTACCCCAGGATGCTTCCAAATAAGTTTCAGTATTTTTGGCCCAGTGGTTCTTGAGAAGAAGATTTTTTAAGATTTTTCCTTTATATTTCAATGTAAAACTTGGATTCCCTATTGTGGCCCCGCCCTACCCCCGGGGGTCATGATTTGAACAATTTAGATTCTACACTACCCCAGGATGCTTCAATATAAGTTTCAGCTTTTCTGGCCCAGTGGTTCTCGAGAAGAAGATTTTTAAAGATTTTTCCTATATATTTCAATGTACAACTTAGATTCCCTATTGTGGCCCCGCCCTACCCCGGGGGGTCATGATTTGAACAATTTAGAATCTACACTACCCCAGGATGCTTCCATATAAGTTTCAGCTTTTCTGGCCCAGTGGTTCTTGAGAAGAAGATTTTTCCTTTATATTTCAATGTAAAACTTGGATTCCCTATTGTGGCCCCGCCCTACCCCCTGGGGTCATGATTTGAACAATTTAGATTCTACACTACCCCAGGATGCTTCAATATAAGTTTCAGCTTTTCTGGCCCATTGGTTCTCGAGAAGAAGATTTTTAAAGATTTTTCCTATATATTTCAATGTAAAACTTGGATTCCCTATTGTGGCCCCGCCCTACCCCCGGGGGTCATGATTTGAACAATTTATAATCTACACTACCCCAGGATGCTTCCATATAAGTTTCAGCTTTTCTGGCCCTGTGGTTCTTGAGAAGAAGATTTTTAAAGATTTTTCTTATGTATTTCAATGTAAAACTTGGATTCCCTATTGTGGCCCCGCCCTACCCCCGGAGGTCATGATTTTAACAATTTAGAATCTACACTATCCCAGGATGCTTCCACATAAGTTTCAGCTTTTCTGGCCCAGTGGTTCTTGAGAAGAAGATTTTTTAATGACCCCACCCTATTTTTGTCTTTTCTTGATTATCTCCCCTTGTAAGGGGACTTGGCCCTTTATTTTAACAATTTACACTCCCCTTCACCCAAGGATACTTTGTACCAAGTTTGGTTAAAATTGGCCCAGTGGTTCTTGAGAAGAAGTTTAAAATGTGAAAAGTTTACAGAGGGACGGACAGACGGATGGACGACGGACAACAGGTGATCAAAAAAGCTCACTTGAGTTTTCAGCTCAGGTGAGCTAAAAAAACAGATAGCAAAACTCTGATATATAATACTTATAAAAGTTACAATCAAATACATATTCAAGTTAAAATGAATACATATATTTAAATAGAATTGAAATAATTATTTATTCATATATGTGTTTCATTCATAAATAGATGGTTTTCCATCGAGGTGATTTAAGAAAGAGTTCTTTCCCCATGGCCGCCATATTGTAGGTCAACATCCCCAGATCCCTTCATAATTCAACCAAGTTCAATTTATTATACTGACACTGAGGTGAAGAATAACACTGTTTTTCTTATGAATATACATTTGTTAAAGATTCTTTTAATTCATAATTTCCATATTGTAAATATTTTTCCCATATATTTTTGGCATGCATGTTAAATTTGGTTGCTCAGAAAGGAAAATTCACTACTTTGACCTAGCTACAAGATGACGGCCAAGGGGAATAACTCCAAGGCAAAATATGTCATAGGAAAACTATCTATTCCAGTATTCTACTTTACTGCAATTGTCAGTCCACATTTTTGTGGAACTATGAGCCCAATGAATTCAGTACACAGATTCTGATTTAATTGGATTAAATTTGATAAAGTTTTATCTTTTCTGGTTCAGTGGTCCTTGAGAGGATTTTTAAATAACACCTCCCCAATATTTGCATTTTCTTGACCATCTCCCCTTGGAAGGGGGCATGGCCCATAATTTTGAATATATTTGATCTCCTTCACTCCTTGTGCTAAGTTTGGCTGACATTGGGTTTAGAGATGAAAATGTCAAAAAGTTAACAGTGACAATGGGCAAATTTTGTTCAGACTTTGAGACTTAATTGAAACCTTTTTTATTTTTTGTTAACATTTAAGGAATTAGTATGTCCTGATTTTTTTTCTACACTTGTACCAAGTTTATTAAAATCAAATCAAAACAGTTGGAAAAAGTAGCATTTTGGAAGATTAATTATACCCATATTCATGCAAGTTAATAAATCATTTAATCATTGTCTTACTCGTGTGATGGTTCCCAGGAGTCTTGTTCTGATCTACTTTGTCTGGATAACTTACTAGGATACTTTTTGGTGACAAGATCCCCACCTCATCTGCTGCAGAGAAAGAACAAAATAAATGTGCATCAATTTAATTTACCGTAATCGTACATCAGTTAATTATTGTCTTACCAGTGTGCTCTTCCTTATAAGTCTGGTACTGGTCTATTTGGTCTGGAGAACTCACTACAATTCTTTTTGGTGATGAAATCACCACCTTATCTGCTGCAGAGGATGACGAGATGACCGTGCGCCTATTTCCTCCACCATAACCAGATACTAAGCTGTTCCTGCAATAAGTTGTCATGTTTTGGGTCTAAAAAATTAATATTTAGTTTCTATGGCCACAAATTTCAGTTAATGAAGTAGGCAGTGTTTTTGAAGTTGTAGTTTGAGTTACATCTCTTTTTTTACATTAACATTTTATATACATGTAGCATGAAACTGAATTTCATTTGTTGTACATTTATTTTACATCAACACACTCACTATGAAGTGTAAACAATGTTTTTTCAATACGTGTTTATAAAAGATCGTGCATAAAATATTTTATGAAAATTTAACTGTAAAGATTGAAAAGAGAAAATTATTTCCTTTTTTAATATGTTGATGAAATAGGCCGCTGATTAAAAGTGTCACCCTAAAGTTGTTTAATCCAATTCATCACTATTTCTAAAGTTATTCAAGATTAAAATATCACAGGATCATACCATACTCGACAAGAAACACATGGGTCACAACACTCAATGAGTCACCTGAGTCCTACTCTTCAGATGAAAGTTTTTTAAAATGACTTTTCTCACTCTTTTTCTACCATGAAAAATTTTGGCCCATACACTGACCAAAACCTAGACCAAAGAGGTCTTGATATGATTTAGTGTGGAACTAATATTCTTTTTGTTTTTCTTTTTATATTTCAGCCCCATTAAATATCTTGCAAAAGGCTCTAATTGGTGACTAATTTAGTCGCAATGGTGCCTAAATTTTTGATTGGTGCCTAAAACTTCTCTGTATGTCGCCAAGTTGGCAATCATTTTAAATTGACATGGCAATTAATTGTCAAATTTGGGAACTTCTGAAGATGAAAAAAGAAGTTTAAAAGTTAGCATAGGACACGTGTTGTGTTTCTTTGTAACCCTGTTTTTTTCATTCATGCATGTTTGAACATAATTTTGCGTCACACAGAGCTCGTGTAGACAGATAAAACAATAGCAGCCCAGGTAATTGTTGGCTCCAGAAAATTGACAATTGTGAAACACAGTAAATTGGACAGGTGATATGGTTAACTGTTTGTCAACTAAATTCTCACTCATTAGAGATATCGTCTACACGAGTGTTAAGTCGTAATTGTACGGATGAGCATAAAAAGTAAATCGTGTAAACAATCCTTGCTTTTAACATAGTTTTCAAAAATCTTTCATTAGATTTATGTTTATCAAAAAGAAATGATCAATTAAAACTTTTTGAATACAAGAGTTTTACCATCATTCTGGTTTGCGGAAATGTACGATCCTCTCCCATTCTGGCTGGTAGGAGAGAGCTATACTGTGGCTTGAGACTATTGAGTTTTACATGCATGCATGCTTAAGTTAAAACATCTTGGCATTTAACTGGCATATTTTTAGTAACCATGGCAACACCGTTCATCGAAATCAAAAACCTTATGTACCTTAGTGTAGTCTACTTCTGTGCCAAGTTATATTGAAATCAGACCAAAACTGTAGGAGTAGCATTTTGAAATATTGTTTACAGACAGACAAACAAACAACGGACACCTTACTTTTGCATAAACTCTTCTGGTCTCTGACCAGTAGAGCTAAAAATATAGGTACATTTATTCACTGATGTAAACCTGTAATGTCATCTGGGACTTATATAATGGTATATGGATCTCTAATGTCTGTAGATGTGAAATTTCTTTTTTTGAATAAATAGAACAAATTAAAATCTATTTTGTGATTCTGTGCTTCTTTGATTTGACTCAACCCATCAACCAAGCAGCTGTGAAAAGTGATGGAAATGCTTAATCCTGATGGAAATGTTCAATTCAATGAAGAGCCAAAAGAATCATGTTATTGAAATGAGTCGTAAATAGGATTTGTACTATACTGGGGTGCTTACCTTTTATTATGAATGATGATGGCTGAGCAATACTCAAGATCTTTTAAAAAAAAATTTTTCTATCGAGTGAAATTTTAATTAATTCATATAATAAAGTTAAACAAGCTTGTGAAATCTGATTTTGGCTAGTAATTGTTCTCCACTAGTTAAACTGAGCTGGTACTAAAAAAAAAGGTTTTTCACAGTCACACTGAATTTGAGAAATGGTGACAAAAGTTTATGATCGAACAATATTTGAAAGATGCAAGTAGATATTTTACAATATTTGTGATACATACCATCCTGGATATAAGAGAGATGCAGACATGCTTTGAACTGTTGAATGAAGACTAGCAGACTCCTGGACATTGGAATTCTGATCCATTGATATTACTTGACGAGTGTCTCCACCTTGCTGACTGACATCTGTGTATGACTCCTCGGGGGACCAGTACTGGATCTTCACTTCCTTGTTCTTCAATGCCTTAGCAGTGACCTCTAGCTGTACATTGCGCGACTCTGGATATATGGATCGTCTATATGGTGTTTTCTGGGGTCCCTCCGACTTACTGAGATTGTCACCGATTCCTGGCCTTCTGGGAGATCCAGACGCAGGTCGACTTCCAACAGAATGTCCAGTTAAAGAAAATTCATATTCTGACATTGTCTATTCTTGTAGCAGGTCTAGAGGATTGTAAAGAAAATAGAGTTAAAAAAAATGATAAACATTCACATCGTGTGGGCAAAGTCCTGAATAGAAGGAAACCAAAATTTCATGCAATTTCATTCATTCATTCATGGTGTCAAAATCATCAGAGAAATGTAAGTCTGTGGACAGTAAAGTATGCTTCTCAGAGAATAAATTAAAAAAAGATCAAGAATTTTTTTTTTTCGTCTGTGCACAAGTTACCTTTTCATGGCCTAAGAGTTCAAAACTTTGCAGAAAGCTGGGGTTTTATCTGAATTAAAACTAGCCTATGTACATTGCATATATTTGGAATATTTTAACCTGGATAACTTCTAGGACATCATTTGCACTAGGCCTAGTGCATATGAGAATTTGTGAAACTTTTCTCAAGTAAGTTGTTTCTTGACTTGGTTTACAAATCGTGTGCTACTGCCCCTGTGCTCAGACTGATGATTTTTTTGAACAAAAACAGGGATTTTTTTAGGGTGTCTCTGGGGCCGAAATTCGGCCCCATTCCCAATGCTGAAAAGTGCATGTTTTTCCCAAAATCATACCTAAAAATTCCCAATATGAAAAAAAGTATTAAGTTGTAAATTATTAAAATAAAATAATGACAAAAAAAAAGGTGTTTATGTTCTCTATGTGTGATGTACAAGCCATCCGAGGACTTCTGAGTAGTTATTCGGAATACTACAGATGTTTGCATGCATACTTTTTAAAGCGGGATCGATGTTTTAAAATTAATGTCAGGATCGTTATCTAAAAAATAAACGTGCATCACGTCAGTCTCTCCAGTTTGCCTAGGACAGTAATTTTCAGGCTGGGTTGAATCGCTCTTATTCTTATAAATTGGTCAAACAATACCGATTAACCACTCATATGGAACAAACCCACTATCAAATGTTATTTTAAAGAACTTCTTACATAAAGGTAAAAAAGATGACAATGTATAAATATGTTCATTTACAATGTTATCATACCCTGCGGCTTTGCCATTTTTAAGCTTCTGAACTTCAACAGCCGCTATTATTTCATATCACTAAAGCTGGTTTAAGCCAGCATCATACTATAAAAAATTAGAAAAATGATTAAATATTTGACTTTTGCTTGTTTTTTCCTATTTATTTGTATGAAGATATTATTCCCAATTTCAACCAAATATCGCTATTTTCCCCAATCTTGACGGCCCCGGCCCCTGGAATCAAAGGGTAAAAAAATCCCTGAAAAATGTCTCTGCGTATTGACTCGACACAACGTGTTTCCTAGCTCTGTCATTGTACAATAAGTCTTGCATGACAGAGTCAGGAATACAAGAAGGATGGATTATTCTTTAAACCGCATGGCCAGAGTGCTATTTCACAGATATGGTCAAGACTTAGTGTGTTTTGCTTCATTGATCTGTTGATGATCATGAGCAATTTCTATAATTAAAAAAATCAAATCAAATTTATATTGTATGCTAAATGTGCTTCGTATTCACTCAACTTCAATCGTTCCTCCGTGATGAACTAAGGCAGGAAGACTTCCAATCTACTGGCGAACAATGAGATTCTCAGACTCACTCACGCAATAGCCGCAACCAACTGCTTCTCCTAAATGGCGAACTTTTTACCTCCGTCCGTTGAAGAGTTCTTCAAAACTTGAAAGGCGCGAAAGTTGTTAAGCACATGTGGCATTAATTTTTCAAATATAAGGTAGTTATCACAAACGGGTAGCACAATCTTTCCCAAAATAATATGTTGACGGTGCGACCGTTAGGGCGAGCGCAGATACCTTTCAGTTTTAATTTAGATCGGGCTCATCAAACCGCATGTGACATTTGATACGTCTAGACTCTGACGTCATATGTATGTTGCATTACCAAAACGGAGTCTGGTCAGTGCTAATTTTAATCAAGAACGTTATTCTAGTATTTATCTGCTATATATCCATTAAATCAAGGTGATTTTATTTTTTGTTGAATTTTTGTTGCTACCGCGAGAACGTAATTTGCGACGAGATGCAATTCGCTTAAGCATTATGGGACCACAGGTAACTGCGGAAAAAAATTCATTTGGATCAATGTGCAGAGTCCGAATTTTCTCTTCGCCCAGGCGTTGTTTTAAGAGCTCGCAGTGACGAGCGGCGCTTTGCGCCGCTCGCTGCGCTCGCTAATATGTTAGACGGTTCGACCGTTGGTGAGGGCGGAGCCATCAATTAAAGTGAACATTTCTACATTTTATTGTTTAATGAAAGATCAGTGTTAAAATCAAATTGTAATTAGTGTCAGAAAATAATAACAAAGTAAATTTAATTAAAGGTATTTGGTTTTATAAATCGAAAACTTTACTAAGATATTTCATCATGAATTGCCTACCTAGAGTACTCAAAATCAAATAGATTAATGGGGAAAGAGCGTGCACTGGACCAGTCAAGGATTCAACCTACCCAGGCCCAAGAACATTTAAATGTTTTAAAACTCTTTCACCTATACGTATCTGTCCAACAATTAATGCGTGAACTCGCATGAGCATCATTTCTTTATCATTCACGACTTAATTTAAAAACCCCAATCCAGAAACATCAAGTCATTTAATTCTCATCTTTTACTTCCAATGCATGGTCATGACTTCAAATATAAATAACATGAATAAAGACAATATTGTCAGGGACTACATCGGAAGTCAAACATGGGACCCAAACTACAGATGATCTAACTCCTGGGTTATCAGGACACTTATCTGACCAACACTAGGGCTGTGTATCGTGAGGGCTAAAAGTATCAGTATTTTCCTAATTTTAATGGAAAAAATGTAGAGTAAATTTAACGTTTCTGGATTTTTAAAAAACTAATCTGATTCGAATAGTCTGTAGTGCTTTCTAAAACTAACATAAGAGCAAAGTAAAAAATCTTTTTTTAATATCTGGAAAAACAAATTTAACTCAATAAAAGTTTTTTTCCGGATATTTAATTGCATGTTTATGTGAAATCTGTTAAAATTTTAAAACAAAAACTTGTGAATTATAGGGTACATTTCTGGGAAGTATCGAATAGAATATTTATCAATGTATCGAACCCCACCCCCTCCCTGCATCAGTAATAATATTGATGTTTTGTGACATCCCTATCCACCACATAATTAATAAAAAGGATCATATATGGAAGCTTTAAAGAAAAAGATATTTTAGTACTACTAGTACTTAATAATATTGACCTCTTTACATAGATTACCATGGGTAATGTCAAATGAAGATTCTAAGCTAACTAAGTTTTCTCATTGATTTTGGACTTTATACACTAGTCTATGATTATAATCCACCATAGGTTCCAACTGGCTGAATAAATTTTCTGTTCTATATTTTTAAAAGTACTTTTTAAAATAAACATAAGAAATCATTTTAATTTATCCGTTGAAGCATATCCACATGTATAAAACTTCTGAGAAAAAAAAAATCACAACAACAAAAATTAGACACAGGTCTCCACTTGCAAATGTATATAGGAACAAGCAGATAATCAAAGACAGACAGACAAACAAACAAACAAACAAATAAATATTTTTAAATAAAAAAAATGAATGAATGAATGAATAAATAAAAATAAAATTTAAAGAAATTAAAATGTATACCCCCCTTCTTGAGTTCATACTATGCAGAATTCAGTAAAGATTTTACCACTATTAAAACATTTTTTTAGGTGTATTATTCAAGAGGAAAATTATACTATGTAACCAAAAAATCATATATTTCTAGTTTGTGTATTGAAAATAATCCTGAAGACATTCGTAATTAATAAATTTTATTAACAAATAAATTAGCTCGTTGTTTCTTTTCCCCCAAGTCTGGTGAAAGGGGCCACAGTAAGATCCGCCCCTCCATCGTGCGTAGTATGCAGTCTAGACAGTGACGTCACTGGAATTCGTTAAACTGAGATTTGTTTCACCAAAACATAGTAAGGTTTGTTAAAAGGTGAATAAATCTGTTTTTAAAAAGATAGTACGCATATGAAATATTAATTATGACAGGTTGTTAAAAATTCAACAGTTTCCGCTGATTCAGTCAATGAATGACGTCACATGTCAAGTCTATGACGATCGAGTGCAAGTTAGTTGAAAACGAAAGTAATAAGGATGTGTACTATAAGGATGTTTTTGATTATGAGAATTGATAAAACTTCATTAACGCAGGATTGGAATTAAAATTACGATTCTCCAGCATCTCGTTTATGCGGGAATTTGTCGCGAGATTCAAGATGGAAAAGAGTATGGACGCCATATTGGCGACAAGGTTCTCAGTTCCATAGGTATTGTAATGAAAATATAGTTTACAATAGAATTCAATATATTTTACATACATACGTGTTACCTATAGGGAGAGCTTCGCTCTCACGGGTCCTTCGGGCCCGTGAGAGGGCTCCGCCCTCTATTAATAAAGATGCTTTCTTAGCGGACAAAACTCGTTTTAAAACAAAGACTTCTTCAGAGAATGGTTGAAAATACATATTTAAACTTGGAATTTACAGGCGCTGTTTATACAAAGGAGGTTGTAAAAAAAATCCAATGATGGTAATGAAAAAACCATCCATTATACATTTTAGACCTATGACTGTGGTAATATTTTTCAAAAGTACAATGTAGGTCAATGACGTATTTTTCATGCTCGTAGCCTCTGTGTTTCTCGAGAAAAAAAATCGTGAAAATTCCTAATAGAATTTTGCACTTAGACCAAGAATTTTTCTTTCTAGAAATAACAATTAAAATCGTCTGATTATAAATATAATAAGAATATGAATAGTGTTGCTAAGTAAAATAGACAATTAGAGTTTGAACAATAAAACTTGTCAAATATTCCAGTCCAATTTCCTCTGTTAAGTTGCATAAGGTCAATGATCAAATTTTTAATAAAGCGTAGCTTTGTTTCAGGATGTTTTGTCTGTCTGAATATAAAATAAAAAACACAATTCTCTGATGTTTGCTGTTTTTAGAAAGTACAAATCAACTAAATATTCAGCCA